GCTTAGTGACTCCTCCCCCCTCTCTGACCCCTCCCACCCCTCCCCTCGTAACTTTGCCAGATACGAACACCGCGCAAATCGCCGTCGGGGTCGTCAACGCGTTTCAACGTTGGAGGGGGGTGGGGGAAGGGGGGTAGGGCTGGCGTGCGCATGCGCGTTGGGTGCGGGTGGGGAGGGAGTCCAAATTTCGCAAGCGCGAGGTTGGACTCGATTTCGCAGTGCGGATACGGTGCGGTGGGGACGTCACGCGGTGGTGGCCGTGGCCGTCCAATGGGAACGCGAGAAACCCGCAGGCACGATGAGCACTATGAATTACAAGGAGGGAGAAAAGTGAGCGTGTGAAGGGTGGGGGGGGGGAGGGTTTAAAAAAAGCGCGGGAAAATTTTAAAATGTGGAAATTCGCGGTTATTGTTAGTTATGGTTAAAAAAAATGTTTTAAGCGCGGTAACAGCCACGAAACTCGTCCACTATGACAATAAAATCTCATTTGTGCGTCTGTATAATTTTTACGAACATCAAAAAAATAATGTGTGCGCGTTCGCACCACGTGACCATCATGCATATGTAAAGTATAAGGCGTGGTTATTCAAATGAGGCAACGCCCCCGGCGTGCATATGTAAATGAGGAGGCGTGGTTATTTAAATAGAATCACCCCCACCTTCCCTACGTCATCACCGTGGCTCATTCTTTCTTCTGATTGGCTGAGGGGTGCAGAGGCCAACGAGATTTGTTTTAGGTCCCAACCGAAACGTCGTACGTTCCGTTAAACTCACCCAAGGTATAATTGTCGACACATTACGGAATATGACGTCACGAATCGCAGAGGGAGTGAATGGTGCGATGACGTCACGAGACCTTGGCTGGGAAGGTGGAGAGGGGGTGATGACGTCAAGGGACAGAGTGAAAATAGGGAGAATGACATCACGAGGAACGGAGGGAGCGAATTGTGCGATGACGTCACGATACCTTTGGTGGCGAGGGGTGATGACGTCACGGAACAGAGTGAAAATAGGGAGGATGACATCACGATGAACGCAGGGAGCGAATGGTGCGATGACGTCACGATATCTTCCGGGTGGCAAGGCGAAGTGGATTGTGATTACGTCACGACACGTAAAGGGATAACAAAATAGGGGTGATGACATCCCGAGACTTCAGCTGTGCCAATCGGGCGATGACGTCACGATACACAGAGGGGGGGGACAAATGGGGTAGATGACGCCACGGGACACAGGCCAATACCAATCGATGATGACGTCGCGAGACGCATGGGGGGGGGGGTGGGTGAGAGGGGGGGTCATGACGTCCACTCTGATAAATGGCTTATTCTTTATTACATTCACACAAAAACTTAATTCTAAATAACACGGTCACATCGTCAACACCACACAAACACTGCAGGGTCTCTGTGTGGTGGTGGTGGTGAGTCTATGGGTCTCTGTGTGGTGGTGAGTCTATGGGTCTCTGTGTGGTGGTGGTGAGTCTATGGGTCTCTGTGTGGTGGTGATGAGTCTATGGGTCTCTGTGTGAGTCTATGGGTCTCTGTGTGGTGGTGATGAGTCTATGGGTCTCTGTGTGGTGGTGATGGGTCTATGGGTCTCTGTGTGACGATTAGTCTATGGGTCTCTTTGTGGTGATGAGTCTATGGGTCTCTGTGTGGTGGTGAGTCTATGGGTCTCTGTGTGGTGGTGAGTCTATGGGTCTCTGTGTGATGATGAGTCTATGGGTCTCTGTGTGGTGGTGGTGGTGGTGAGTCTATGGGTCTCTGTGTGGTGGTGAGTCTATGGGTCTCTGTGTGATGATGAGTCTATGGGTCTCTGTGTGGTGGTGATGAGTCTATGGGTCTCTGTGTGGTGGTGAGTCTATGGGTCTCTGTGTGGTGGTGATGGGTCTATGGGTCTCTGTGTGACGATTAGTCTATGGGTCTCTGTGTGGTGATGAGTCTATGGGTCTCTGTGTGGTGGTGGTGGTGAGTCTATGGGTCTCTGTGTGGTGGTGAGTCTATGGGTCTCTGTGTGGTGGTGAGTCTATGGGTCTCTGTGTGGTGGTGAGTCTATGGGTCTCTGTGTGGTGGTGGTGAGTCTATGGGTCTCCGTGTGGTGGTGAGTCTATGGGTCTCCGTGTGGTGGTGAGTCTGTGGGTCTCTGTGTGGTGGTGAGTCTATGGGTCTCTGTGTGGTGGTGAGTCTATGGGTCTCTGTGTGGTGGTGGTGAGTCTATGGGTCTCTGTGTGGTGGTGAGTCTATGGGTCTCTGTGTGGTGGTGAGTCTATGGGTCTCTGTGTGGTGATGAGTCTATGGGTCTCTGTGTGGTGGTGAGTCTATGGGTCTCTGTGTGGTGGTGATGAGTCTATGGGTCTCTGTGTGGTGGTGATGAGTCTATGGGTCTCTGTGTGGTGGTGAGTCTATGGGTCTCTGTGTGGTGGTGAGTCTATGAGTCTCTGTGTGTGTGATGAGTCTGTGGGTCTCTATGTGATGATGAATCTATGGGTCTCTGTGTGGTGGTGAGTCTGTGGGTCTCTGTGTGGTGGTGAGTCTATGAGTCTCTGTTTGTGTGATGAGTCTATGGGTCTCTATGTGATGATGAGTCTATGGGTCTCTGTGTGGTGGTGAATCTATGGGTCTCTGTGTGGTGATGAGTCTATGGGTCTCTGTGTGATGATGAGTCTATGGGTCTCTGTGTGGTGGTGAGTCTATGGGTCTCTGTGTGATGATGAGTCTATGGGTCTCTGTGTGGTGGTGAGTCTATGGGTCTCTGTGTGGTGGTGAGTCTATGGGTCTCTGTGTGATGATGAGTCTATGGGTCTCTGTGTGATGATGAGTCTATGGGTCTCTGTGTGGTGGTGAGTCTATGGGTCTCTGTGTGGTGGTGAGTCTATGGGTCTCTGTGTGGTGATGAGTCTATGGGTCTCTGCGTGGTGGTGGGTCTATGGTCTCTGTGTGGTGGTGGTGGTGAGTCTATGGGTCTTCGTGTGGTGGTGATGAGTCTATGGGTCTCTGTGTGATGATGAGTCTATGGGTCTCTGTGTGTGGTGGTGAGTCTATGGGTCTCTATGTGATGATGAGTCTATGGGTCTCTGTGTGATGATGAGTCTATGGGTCTTTGTGTGTGATGGTGAGTCTATGGGTCTCTGTGTGATGATGAGTCTGTGGGTCTCTGTGTGGTAATGAGTCTGTGGGTCTCTGTGTGGTGGTGAGTCTATGGGTCTCTGTGTGATGATGAGTCTATGGGTCTCTGTGTGATGATGAGTCTATGGGTCTCTGTGTGGTGGTGATGAGTCTATGGGTCTCTGTGTGATGATGAGTCTATGGGTCTCTGTGTGGTGGTGAGTCTATGGGTCTCTGTGTGGTGGTGAGTCTATGGGTCTCTGTGTGGTGATGAGTCTATGAGTCTCTGTGTGTCGCTGGTTGCAAGCAAAGCCGCACTGCACTGCTGATGAGATGCTGAATGACAAAACCAGTCTAGAATTGCAACTAATAAAAGCAAATTCCCACTTCCCGCACTGCTGATGAGACACTGAATGCCAAATCCAGGCTAAGCTCTCACTCCCGTGGCTCCCTTTGTTATGTAAGGTGGGTGAGGGGTTGGTGAGTGAGTGAGTGGGTGGGTGAGTGAGTGAGTGGGTGAGTGAGTGGGTGGGTGAGTGGGTGGGTGAGTGGGTGGGTGAGTGGGTGGGTGAGTGGGTGAGTGTGTGAGGGTGGGTGACGGGTTGGTGAGTGAGTGAATGGGTGAGTGAGTGGGTGGGTGGGTGAGTGAGTGGGTGGGTGGGTGGGTGAGTGAGTGGGTGGGTGGGTGGGTGAGTGAGTGGGTGGGTGGGTGAGTGGGTGGGTGGGTGGGTGAGTGGGTGGGTGGGTGGGTGAGTGGGTGGGTGGGTGGGTGAGTGGGTGGGTGGGTGAGTGAGTGAGTGGGTGAGTGAGTGAGTGGGTGGGTGAGTGGGTGGGTGAGTGGGTGAGTGAGTGGGTGAGTGGGTGAGTGGGTGGGTGGGTGAGTGAGTGGGTGGGTGGGTGAGTGAGTGGGTGAGTGGGTGGGTGGGTGAGTGGGTGAGTGGGTGGGTGAGTGGGTGAGTGAGTGGGTGAGTGAGTGAGTGGGTGGGTGAGTGGGTGAGGGGGGGTGACGGGTTGGTGAGTGAGTAAGTGGGTGAGTGAGTGGGTGGGTGGGTGAGTGGGTGGGTGGGTGGGTTGGTGAGTGGGTGGGTGGGTGGGTGAGTGGGTGGGTGGGTGGGTGAGTGAGTGAGTGGGTGAGTGAGTGAGTGGGTGGGTGAGTGGGTGGGTGAGTGGGTGAGTGAGTGGGTGAGTGGGTGAGTGGGTGAGTGGGTGAGTGAGTGGGTGGGTGGGTGAGTGAGTGGGTGAGTGGGTGGGTGGGTGAGTGGGTGAGTGGGTGGGTGAGTGGGTGAGTGAGTGGGTGAGTGAGTGAGTGGGTGGGTGAGTGGGTGAGGGTGGGTGACGGGTTGGTGAGTGAGTGAGTGGGTGAGTGAGTGGGTGGGTGGGTGAGTGAGTGGGTGGGTGGGTGAGTGAGTGGGTGGGTGGGTGGGTGAGTGAGTGGGTGGGTGAGTGGGTGGGTGGGTGAGTGGGTGAGTGAGTGAGTGGGTGGGTGAGTGGGTGGGTGAGTGGGTGAGTGAGTGGGTGAGTGGGTGGGTGAGTGGGTGGGTGAGTGGGTGGGTTGGTGGGTGAGTGAGTGGGTGGGTGAGAGGTGGGTGAGTGGGTGGGTGAGTGAGTGAGTGGGTGGGTGAGTGGGTGGGTGAGTGAGTGGGTGGGTGAGTGAGTGGGTGAGTGAGTGGGTGAGTGAGTGGGTGAGTGAGTGGGTGAGTGAGTGGGTGAGTGAGTGAGTGGGTGGGTGAGTGAGTGGGTGGCTGAGTGAGTGGGTGAGTGGGTAAGCGAGCGAGCGGGTGAGTAAGTGGGTGAGTGAGTGGGTGCGCGGGTGGGTGGGTGAGTGGGTGAGTGGGTAAGCGAGCGAGCGGGTCGGTGAGTGGATGGGCGAGCGAGCGGGCGAGCGGACGAGCGGGCGAGCCATCACAGCCATCACTGCCATCACAGCCATCACTGCCATCACAGCCATCACAGCCATCATCACTTGTGCCGTAAGTCTCCCGTTTGAGGCTCGGCCATGAGGCGCATGGAGGAGCCCTGCAGGGCAGCCTCACGGAGCCTCTCGTAGGCGAACTCGTTCTCGCGGAAGAGACGCAGCTCCATCTCGGTCTGGACGCGCAGGCCCTGGGGGATCCAGCGGTGGAGCGGGGTGGAGGAGGAGGAGGTGGAGGTGGTGTTAAACTCGCTCACCATTCACTCACCCACTCACTCACCCACCCATCCACCAACTCACCCACCCACCTATCCACCCACTCACCCACACACCCACCTACCCACCTACCCACTCACTCACTCACCCACTCACTCACTCACTCACCCACCCACGCACTCACACACCCACCCACTCACCCACTCACTGACCCACCCACCCACCCACTCACTCACCAACTCACCCACCCACCCACTCACTCACTCACCCACCAGCCCACCCACCCACTCATCCACCAACCCACCCACCCACACACTCACTCTCTCACCCACCCACCAACTCACCAACCCACCCACCCACACAACAAAGATAAAAAGATCCCCCATATAGCCTTAACAGACTTTAGGGGCAAGTGCTGTTAGCGAGCACCAATGAAGGCCGGAACGGTACACGAGGGGGTGGGTGGCCAGCACCACGCCCGACCGCCTTTGTCTCCCTAGTGGCAATGTTTACACACCGCACCAGGTACTCATTTGAGGCTGAGTCGACCCACCCACACACTCACTCTCTCACCCACCCACCAACTCACCCACCCACCTACCCACCCACTCTCTCACCCATCCACCAACTCACCCACCCACTCACTCACTCACCCACCAGCCCACCCACCCACTCACTCACTGACCCACCCACTCATCCACCAACCCACCCACCCACACACTCACTCTCTCACCCACCCACCAACTCACCCACCCACCCATCACCCACTCACCCACCCACTCACCCACCCACCTACCCACCAACTCACCCACCCACCTATCCACCCACTCACCCACACACCCACCTACCCACCTACCCACCCACTCACTCACCCACCCACCCACCTACCCACCTACCCACCCACTCACTCACTCACCCACCCACCCACCCACTCACTCACCCACTCACCCACCCACTCACCCACCCACTCACCCACCCACTCACTCACCCACCCACCCACCCACTCACTCTCTCACCCACCCACCCACCCACTCACCCACCCACCCACCAACTCACCTACCCACCCACTCACTCACTCACCTACCCACCAACTCACCCACCAACTCACCCATCCACCAACTCACCCACCCACCCACCCACTCACTCACTCACCCACCAGCCCACCCACCCACTCACTCACTGACCCACCCACTCATCCACCAACCCACCCACCCACACACTCACTCTCTCACCCACCCACCAACTCACCCACCCACCCATCACCCACTCACCCACCCACTCACCCACCCACCTACCCACCAACTCACCCACCCACCTATCCACCCACTCACCCACACACCCACCTACCCACCTACCCACCCACTCACTCACCCACCCACCCACCTACCCACCTACCCACCCACTCACTCACTCACCCACCCACCCACCCACCCACTCACTCACCCACCCACCCACCCACTCACCCACCCACTCACCCACCCACTCACTCACCCACCCACCCACCCACTCACTCTCTCACCCACCCACCCACCCACTCACCCACCCACCCACCAACTCACCTACCCACCCACTCACTCACTCACCTACCCACCAACTCACCCACCAACTCACCCATCCACCAACTCACCCACCCACCCACCCACTCACTCACTCACCCACCAGCCCACCCACCCACTCACTCACTGACCCACCCACTCATCCACCAACCCACCCACCCACACACTCACTCTCTCACCCACCCACCAACTCACCCACCCACCCATCACCCACTCACCCACCCACTCACCCACCCACCTACCCACCAACTCACCCACCCACCTATCCACCCACTCACCCACACACCCACCTACCCACCTACCCACCCACTCACTCACCCACCCACCCACCTACCCACCTACCCACCCACTCACTCACTCACCCACCCACCCACCCACCCACTCACTCACCCACCCACCCACTCACCCACTCACCCACCCACCCACTCACACACCCACCCACTCACCCACCCACCAACTCACCCACCCACCCACCCACTCACTCACCCACCCACCCACTCACACACCCACACACTCACCCACTCACCCACCCACCCACCCACACACCCACCTACCCACCTACCCACCCACTCACTCACCCACCCACCCACCTACCCACCTACCCACCCACTCACTCACTCACCCACACACCCACCCACTCACCCACTCACCCACCCACCCACCCACCTCCAGGTCTCTGGTGATAGGGTGCAGGGGTCCGTGAGTGACCATGAGGATGCCCAGGGCGCGACACACGTGTGCGTGGGCCTTGTCGATGAGGCCTGCGTGCCAGTGAGTCACCCCGGCACGCATCACCATCATCCCCAGCTGGGCGTTGTTGGGGTGGTAGATCTTCCTGTAGCGTGGGGGGAGGTGGGGGGAGGTGGGTGAGTGGGTGGGTGGGTGAGTGGGTGGGTGGGTGAGTGGGTGGGTGGGTGGGTGGGTGAGTGGGTGGGTGGGTGGGTGAGTGAGTGGGTGGGTGGGTGAGTGAGTGAGTGGGTGAGTGGGTGGGTGGGTGGGTGAGGGGGTGGGTGGGTGGGTGAGTGAGTGAGTTGGTGGGTGATTGGGTGGGTGGGTGGGTGAGTGAGTGAGTGGGTGGGTGGGTGGGTGAGGGGGTGGGTGAGTGAGTGAGTGAGTGGGTGGATGGGTGGGTGGATGGGTGAGTGAGTGGGTGGGTGGGTGAGTGGGTAGATGAGTGGGTGGGTGAGTGAGTGGGTGGGTGAGTGAGTCAATGTGTGAGTGGGTGAGTGAGTGGGTGGATGGGTGAGTGAGTGAGTGGGTGGATGAGTGGGTGGGTGGGTGAGTGGGTGGGTGAGTGAGTGGGTAGATGAGTGGGTGGGTGAGTAGGTGATTTAGTGGATGGGTGGGTGAGTGGGTGGGTGAGTGAGTGGGTGGATGGGTGAGTGGATGAGTGGGTGGGTGAGCGGGTGCGTGGTTGAGTTAGTGGGTGGATGGGTGGGTGGGTGAGTGGGTGGGTGGGTGAGTGAGTGAGTGAGTGGGTGGGTGGGTGGGTGAGTGAGTGGGTGGGTGAGTGGGTGGGTGGGTGGGTGGGTGAGTGAGTGAGTGAGTGGGTGGGTGGGTGGGTGGGTGAGTGAGTGGGTGGGTGGGTGGGTGGGTGAGGGGGTGGGTGGGTGGGTGAGTGAGTGGGTGGGTGGGTGAGTGGGTGGGTGGGTGGGTGGGTGGGTGGGTGGGTGGGTGAGTGAGTGAGTGAGTGGGTGGGTGGGTGGGTGGGTGGGTGAGTGAGTGGGTGGGTGGGTGGGTGAGTGAGTGGGTGGGTGGGTGGGTGAGGGGGTGGGTGGGTGGGTGAGTGAGTGGGTGGATGGGTGGGTGGGTGGGTGAGTGGGTGGGTGGGTGAGTGAGTGAGTGGGTGGGTGGGTGGGTGAGTGAGTGGGTGGGTGAGTGGGTGGGTGGGTGGGTGGGTGAGTGGGTGAGTGAGTGGGTGGGTGGGTGGGTGAGTGAGTGAGTGGGTGGGTGGGTGGGTGAGGGGGTGGGTGGGTGGGTGAGTGAGTGAGTGGGTGGGTGAGTGGGTGGGTGGGTGGGTGAGTGAGTGAGTGAGTGGGTGGGTGGGTGGGTGAGGGGGTGGGTGGGTGGGTGGGTGAGTGAGTGGGTGGGTGGGTGGGTGAGCGGGTGCGTGGGTGAGTGAGTGGGTGGGTGGGTGGGTGAGTGAGTGGATGAGCGGGTGGGTGGGTGAGTGAGTGGGTGGGTGAGTGGGTGGGTGAGTGAGTGAGTGAGTGGGTGGATGGGTGGGTGGATGGGTGAGTGAGTGGGTGGGTGGGTGAGTGGGTAGATGAGTGGGTGGGTGAGTGAGTGGGTGAGTGGGTGGGTGGGTGGGTGAGTGAGTCAATGTGTGAGTGGGTGAGTGAGTGGGTGGATGGGTGAGTGAGTGAGTGGGTGGATGAGTGGGTGGGTGGGTGAGTGGGTGGGTGAGTGAGTGGGTGGATGGGTGAGTGGATGAGTGGGTGGGTGAGCGGGTGCGTGGTTGAGTGAGTGGGTGGATGGGTGGGTGAGTGAGTGAGTGAGTGGATGAGCGGGTGGGTGGGTGGGTGAGTGAGTGAGTGAGTGGGTGAGTGAGTGGGTGGGTGGGTGGGTGAGTGGGTAGGTGAGCGGGTGGGTGGGTGAGTGAGTTGGTGGGTGAGTGGGTAGATGAGTGGGTGGGTGAGTAGGAGATTTAGTGGATGGATGAGCGGGTGGGTGAGTGAGTGGGTGGATGGGTGAGTGAGTGAGTGAGTGGGTAGATGAGTGGGTGGGTGAGTAGGTGATTTAGTGGATGGGTGGGTGAGCGAGTGGGTGAGCGAGTGGGTGAGCAAGTAGGTGAGTGAGTAGGTGAGTGAGTGAGTGGGTGAGCGAGTGGGTGAGCGAGTGGGTGAGTGAGTAGGTGAGCGCATGGGTGAGTGAGCGGGTGGGTGTGTGGGTGGGTGAGCGAGTGGGTGATTGAGTAGGTGAGTGAGTAGGTGAGCGAATGGGTGAGTGAGTGGGTGGGTGGGTGTGTGGGTGGGTGGGTGAGAGAGTGGGTGGGTGGGTGGGTGTGTGGGTGGGTGGGTGAGTGAGTGGGTGAGTGAGTGAGTGAGTGGGTGAGTGAGTGAGTGGGTGTGTGGGTGGGTGGGTGAGTGAGTGGGTGGGTGAGTGTGTGGGTGGGTGGGTGGGTGTGTGGGTGGGTGAGTGAGTGGGTGAGTGAGTGAGTGGGTGAGTGAGTGAGTGGTTGTGTGGGTGGGTGGGTGAGAGAGTGGGTGGGTGAGTGTGTGGGTGGGTGGGTGGGTCAGGGAGTGGGTGGGTGAGTGAGTGGGTGAGAGAGTAGGTGAGCGAGTGGGTGAGCAAGTAGGTGAGTGAGTAGGTGAGTGAGTGAGTGAGGGGGTGAGCGAGTGGGTGAGCGAGTGGGTGAGTGAGTTGGTGAGCGAATGGGTGAGTGAGTGTGTGGGTGGGTGGGTGAGTGGGTGGGTGGGTGAGAGAGTGGGTGGGTGGGTGGGTGTGTGGGTGGGTGGGTGGGTGGGTGTGTGTGTGGGTGGGTGGGTGAGTGAGTGGGTGAGTGAGTGAGTGGGTGGGTGGTAGGTGAGTGGGTGTGTGTGTGGGTGGGTGGGTGGATGAGTGAGTGGGTGAGTGAGTGGGTGAGTGGGTGAGCGAGTGAGCGAGTGAGTGAGTGAGCGAGTGAGTGAGTGAGTGAGCGAGTGGGTGAGCGAGCGGACGAGCGAGCGGGTGACTCACTCGATCGCGTCGACAGTGCGCTGTGCGAAGGTGGCGGCCTCGTTGAAGGACTGCAGGTAGGCCAGCACGTCCGCCATTAGCCTCACCATCCTCACCAAGCTCACGTGACACTCACCAAACACCGCCTCCTGCTTGGACAGGCACTGCCGACACAGCTTCAGCACCTGGGGTGGGAGGGCACGGGGGATCTTTGACTCACTCACTCACCCACCCACCCACTCACCCACTCACTCACTCACTCGCTCACTCACTCGCTGACTCACTCACCCACTCACCCACTCACCCACCCACTCACCCACTCACTCACTGACTCACCCAACCACTCAACCACTCACCCACCCACTCACCCACTCACTCACCCACTCGCTGACTCACCCAACCACTCAACCACTCACTCATTCACTCACCCACTCACTCACCCACTCACCCACTCACTCACTCACCCACTCACTCCCCCACTCACTCACTCACTCGCTGACTCACCCACCCACTCACTCACTCACTCACCCACTCACTCACCCACCCACTAACTCACCCACTCACCCACCCACTCAATCACCCACCCACCCACTCACTCACTCACCCACTCACTCACTCACTCACCCACCCACCCACCCACTCACTCACCCACCCACTCACTCACCCACCCACTAACTCACCCACTAACCCACCCACTCAATCACCCACCCACCCACTCACTCACTCACCCACCCACTCACTCACTCACTCACCCACCCACTCACTCACTCACTCACCCACCCACCCACCCACTCACTCATTCACTCACCCACTCACCACCCACTCACCCACCCACCCACTCACCCACCCACTCCCTCACTCACTCACTCACCCACTCACCCACCCACCCACACACTCAGCCACCCACCCACTCACTCACTCACCCACCCACCCACTCACCCACCCACCCACTCACTCACCCACTCACCCACCCACTCACTCACCCAATCACTTACTCACCCACCCACTCACTCACTCACTCACCCACTCACTCACCCACCCACTAACTCACCCACTCACCCACCCACTCAATCACCCACCCACTCACTCACTCACTCACCCACCCACTCACTCACTCACTCACCCACCCACCCACCCACTCACTCACTCACCCACCCACTCACTCACCCACCCACTCACTCACCCACTCACTCACCCACTCACCCACCCACCTACTCACCCACTCACCCACCCACTCCCTCACTAACCCACTCACCCACCCACCCACTCATCCACTCACTCCCTCACTCACTCACTCACCCACTCACTCACGCACCCACTCACCCACCCACCCACTCACTCACCCACCCACTCACTCACTCACTCACCCACCCACTCACTCACTCACTCACCCACCCACTCACTCATTCACTCACCCACTCACCACCCACTCACCCACCCACTCACTCACTCACTCACCCACCCACCCACCCACCCACTCACCCACCCACTCCCTCACTCACTCACCCACTCACCCACCCACCCACACACTCAGCCACCCACCCACTCACTCACTCACCCACCCACCCACTCACCCACCCACCCACTCACTCACCCACTCACCCACCCACTCACTCACCCAATCACTCACTCACCCACCCACTCACTCACTCACTCACCCACCCACTCACTCACTCACTCACCCACCCACCCACTCACTCACCCACCCCCCCAACCACTCACTCACCCACCCACCCACTCACTCACTCACTCACCCACTCACCCACCCACCCACCCACCCACCCACTCACCCACCCACCCACTCACTCACCCACTCAGTCACTCACCCACCCACTCACTAACTCACCCACTCACTGACTCATCCACTCACTCACCCACTCACCCACCCAATCACTCCCCTACCAACCCACTCACTCACTCACCCACCCACTCACTCACCCGCTCACTCACCCACTCACCCACCCACCCACTCACTCACTCACCCACCCACCCACCCACTCACTCACTCACTCACCCACCCACTCACTCACTCACTCAATCACCCACTCACCCACCCACCCACTCACCCACCCACTCACTCACCCACCCACTCACTCACCCACCCACCCACTCACTCACTCACCCACCCACTCACTCACTCACCCACCCACCCTCTCACCCACCCACCCACTCACCCACCCACCCACCCACTCACCCACCCACCCACTCAGTCACCCACTCACTCACTCACTCACCCACCCACTCACCCACCCACCCACCCACTCACCCACTCACCCACTCACCCACTCACCCACCCACTCACTCCCCTACCAACCCACTCACTCACTCACCCACCCACTCACTCACTCACTCACCCACTCACCCACCCACTCACCCACCCACTCACCCACCCACTCACTCACCCACCCACTCACCCACCCACCCACTTACCCACCCACCCACTCACCCACCCACCCACCCACTCACCCACCCACTCACTCACCCACTCACTCACTCACCCACCCACTCACTCACTCACTCACCCACTCACCCACCCACTCACCCACCCACTCACCCACCCACTCACTCACCCACCCACTCACCCACCCACCCACTTACCCACCCACCCACTCACCCACCCACCCACCCACTCCCTCACTCACCCACCCACTCACCCACCCACTCACTCCCCTACCAACCCACTCACTCACTCACCCACCCACTCACTCACTCACTCACCCACTCACCCACCCACTCACGCACCCACTCACCCACCCACTCACCCACCCACTCACTCACCCACCCACTCACCCACCCACCCACTCACCCACCCACTCACTCACCCACCCACCCACCCATCCACTCCCTCACTCACCCACCCAACCACTCACCCACCCACTCACTCACCCACTCACCCACCCACTCCCTCACTCACGTCCACCCAGAGGTTCCTCTTCTTGAGCTCCTCCACCCTATCGTGAGTCTCCTTCGTCAGCTGTTCCACCTGGCGAACCTCCTCTGCCGATGGCTGCCAAGGCAAAGGCAAAGGTCCACCGTGTAGTCTCGCGTCAAGTGCTCTAGGCAAAAGCGGCGTCTCATCACGAGTGACTGGATTAGAGGCATTAGTGAGCGCAGGAATGATGATGACTCTTTGATTCTATCGGGAAAGCAAGGCCGTCATTATAATATTTATTATTGGGGTGTCCCTCCCCCCCAAAATACGAATATTAGTGAGCAGGTGAGTAGGTGAGTGAGTAGGTGAGTGGGTGAGTGAGTGAGTGAGTAGGTGAGTGGGTGAGTGAGTGAGTGGGTGGGTGAGTGAGTGGGTAGGTGAGTGGGTGAGTGAGTAGGTGAGTGGGTGAGTGAGTGAGTGAGTAGGTGAGTGGGTGAGTGAGTAGGTGAGTGGGTGAGTGAGTGAGTAGGTGAGTGAGTAGGTGAGTGAGTAGGTAGGTGAGTGGGTGAGGGAGTGAGTGGGTAGGTGAGTGGGTGCGTGAGTGAGTAGGTGAGTGAGTAGGTGAGTGAGGGAGTGAGAAGGTGAGCGGGTGAGTGAGTAGGTGAGTGGGTGAGTGAGTGAGTAGGTGAGTGAGTGGGT